ATATCGCAAATTAGATATTATTACCAGATAGATGCAATAGTCATGTAAACAATACGACAGAATGTTATTATGCGGTTATTTACGCTTATTATCTCATCTTTAATAACTACATGCATATGCGTTGGTTAATTAACGAATTCAATATTATACGAAATATTTAATGAAACATTGTATTGGAACGTTTCGATAACTTTTTTATTGGTATGTGTGCGCTTTGCGTATTACCTCCATCATAGTAAACTGTAAATAGTTTAAAAGTTTTCATAACCATAATAAAGTGCTTAATCTTAAAAACTGATATGTAAAACTGCATACTCAAAAAAAAAGAATGGCTATTTAGTCCAATCTCACCACATAAATGCATTTATGATCTCGGACAATCTTACAATTATGGCTTATGTGTGTGTTAAGGCATAGAGTTCGCATTACCTAAATGCAGTTTCATTATTAATTTCAAGATAATACTGTCCGCTGTCTACAAATAAAGTACAAGCGTCAAGATTATGCTTATAATTAGAAAATAACTGCAAATTGTAATCAATTACTTTCATACCTCCTCCAATAAATACATGAGAAAATTCTTTGAGGGGATGCAACGTGCTAGAGCACATAATTGTTTTCTTAGTGTGCGGTAAGAGACTGGTACTCTTGGAATAAATGACATCCCACTCTGAATCGTTATCTTCACGCATACTCTTTATAACATCTTCTATTTCTTCATATAACTCAATAGCATTTGGACGCTTGTCAGGATCATTTGTGTTACAACATTTTTCGGCAAGTTGACTATAGAACTTTGGTGCTGTATCTGGCATATATGGTCGTAGTCCTCTAATAATTTCATTGACCAATTCATAATTAAATTCTCTGTTTCCAAATGGCTGTTCGCCAGTAGCCATAAAATACATGAGAATGCCAAACGCATAAATATCTGATTTCTGACTATACTTTCTGTGAGCAAGGACTTCTGGTGCAATAAAAGGCAAGACACCTCGAATTTTCGAAGAAGCTATGTCGGACGAGTTTACTGATTTTGATAATCCAAGATCGCATATAAACAATTTATACTCGATGGATTGAGCATTGTCAGATTGAAAATTATTGTGCTCACTACTCAGAACTATGTTGCCACAATGAATATCAGAATGAATCAAGCCTTCTAAATGAATATTCATTAGCTGAAGAGCAATATCCTCCAGAAAACTCAGTTTCATCCCCCACGTAAGCTTGTTCCCGTTTAGGCGCCAGTGATTAGAAAGATTTCCACAGTTTGCATATTCCATTACTATAATGTATTCCTTCGTCGTTGGATCCTGCGTAACTCCGTAAACTTCCAGAAAATCGCTTTTAGAGGAACACACGTTGTGGTTTCTAAACTATTAATCAAAAACACAATTAAATTATTGCTACTTGTTCGGTTATATCAATTGGTAGTGCAATAATATCTTACTTCAAGAATAAACATTTCTTGCTCCGCCTTAAAATTTTTAAACCGCTTTAAAACAACATCTTTTTCCAGTGCCTTGCAATATTCTACTTGAACGGTTGCAAAATGGCCAATGCCGATATCCTCGATTTTATCAAAAGTAGAATAGTGGAAATATGTTTGTCTAACATCAAGCATAGTTTTGCTCAAAACAACGTCGACATTTTGATAAAACACCAAATAATAGTCGCTGTTCTCTGAATCTTGTGTAATGCCGGCAATCCAAACATTATCAGGGGTTAATATATTAGGATAGTCATTTTTGATCTGGTTTTTGAGCAAAAAAACAAATTTATTATCTCAGCAACAGTCTTTTGCAGAACAATAAAAAAAAACTTTACCTGATTAAAATCAAATGAACGAGCATTTTCTCCATCAACAATTTTTTTAGCGTTACCGCATGGCAATGAACCGCCTGGCGGACTACGTCTCCGTCTCGTTTTATAATCGGTTCTCTCCAGGTAGCTTTATGCGTACATCCATGATTTAACTTCAGTGCCATTTGCAAGTCCGTCAATTGATTATGACTAATCCATTGAATATAGCTATCGGTTTGATTATGTACTTTACGCCAAGATTCCTTTATAAACGGCCCTAGAGACTCATTGTTTCTGGGAATCGAATAAGGAAATGTTGATGCCTTGCAATGTGAGCAAAATACTCGCATATTCGGATTCAAAGACGCCGTGCATGACAGACATAGTCCACCGTCATTTACAATTTTTATTAGAGCACATTTCTTCTCGGTTTCGTGATACGTAAATCCGACAATAATCCAAACATTTTTGTCGCAAATGTCCGGCTGTATCTTGCGCCGTAGCTATTTAAAATTATTTGTTAGCACAGTAGATTTTGATTAACAACCTTGATATATTCCAAGACACTAATAAATTTTTTTTTTAATATTTTTGTTTACCTTCTGACAGTTGTTTGCCATATCCGAATCTTCCAATAGAATAAGTTTTGCGGTTTCAGAGGTGGGAAAGCCAGATAAGCGATAATTCTTATTATAGACGTTATCACTATTAAAGGAAATCCATTCTAAATAAGGTTCATTTGCCGAGTTTGTCAGTAATTGAGTTTCCTTAATAAGCGCATCCAGCTGCTCATTTTCGCTAGTCCAGGCAGTAGTAGCAGTGATTAATTCTTGATGACCACAAATACACCACACGGGACTGCACCGAAGTAGCCCGCATTCAGTGCAGAATCCAAAACGAGCATAACAGTCATAAAAGAGTTTATCGGCAACCATATAATAGTTGTCGTCATCTTTGGTAAATCCTATAATCAGGTTATTACGTTTCTTGAGCCACGTTTCGTATCTTTTGAACTGACTGATGTCCTGGGAGGTTTCCGATAATGAATGAATTTTTATGAATTGCTCTACAGATCCACCGTTAGCTTCGACCATCTTCAGCACAACTTGCGTACCTACGAACCTATCTGCTGTAGGTATCTCTGTAGGTTGGTACGTTGCATAAAAATTTGTTGAACCAACGCTAGTTTTGTCTTTAAATGCCGAGAAACGAAACCATCTAAAATGGAGAGTGTTGATCAACTCATCAATTGCTGGACACCCGGAAATGCTCATATTGACGTTACGAGTGAGCGTGATAATTCAAACTCTGCTTATAATGGTGTATGGGGAGGAGTAAGCGGATTGTATGGTTAGGTAATGCGTATCGTATGTGTTTATCGTTCGTCAAATATGGTTTATTTATAATGTATTACTACTATTCATATGTGCTATTGTTGTTACGTAAAAGGTCAATATATTCATTTGTGTCACTTTGTATGCACACAAACTCTAACTTTAATTTGTCCATTACGAGGTCGCGTGTGGTCGATAAAAAAAAAGTCTTCAAACTGTTGTAACAATCGTTATTACTATAAAAAATGGCTTTGACATAGTGTTTCAATAGTAATGACGCCTTCAAGTCAACATTTGCGTATGTGACTTGGCTTTTACAATTGCTCTCAAGAAACCAACAATGAATTACACCAGACTAACATAAATAAATGCTTGCTTTTGTCAGGTTTCGTGCATAATGTACAAATTTGTCAAGCACCAAACGCTTGCAAAGGTAGAAAGACGTTACTTTTACGAGTTTTGAAAATGAAAAGTAGCGGAAAAAATAAAGCAAAGAGTCATTAACTATGCTTTAGCTTGCAGCAGATTATGCAAAGATGCCCCATTGATGTATTTGTTCACATGCCCACATATTTCCAAATGCGGTATATATTGATTGAATGTTTATGTCCTGTTTGACCGCATCGCATTGCAGAAACATGAAGCATTATGTTCTTGCCCCAATGCGCAAGATAAGAATTTAATCAACCAATGTTGTAAGAGCTTTCACATAATAAACGTGATGAAAAATTTTTTTGTATTTGTCTACGAATTGTTGGTGTCTGTCCCACTTTATAGTTGCATTGTATTTTGCTGTATGACTTGTTTACACATACAAAATCTAGACTGATTCTACAAGCAAGCATTTTTTATTGGCAAGCGTTACATATTCAAGAATTATGTAAGATGCCTTCGGTTACTTGATAATCAGTTTTTTTATTCATCTCTCACCATGGTAATGTCTAATATAGTCATATTGATGAGGCCATTTTACCGCATGTGTAACAAAGCATGATGTTATTTTGCAGCGGGATGCATTGTTGAAAAAAAACCATGTGATAATTTTGGTTGAGAAACACAGACTTGGCTTATAACGAATGACCGTAATATCCTGTTCAAACAAATATTTAGAATGCTTTGTATACGGTTATATTTGAGGAATTAGATTAATTTAATTCGTCATATTCATTATGACGACACTAACTGATTCGTAATTCAATCCATTGAACCAATAATTAGTTTAAACTGCTTTCAATTTGAAAAAAAAAAAAATAGTCTGTATCAGTCACTGTGCCCAACGTCGTCGCAGTTGTTTATGTAAGACTGAGAGCGTCTCATAAATCTCTTATCTTGATCCGGTTAGCCGTGGGGAATAAGATGACTGCATGAAATATTCACCAATTAGGCAGTAGTAATACAGGTGAATAGAGCGATCAAACAACGACAGTAAAAATAAAGAGATTGTGATCTCGACCGGAACGTAATTAAACACACGATTTTACTACGACTGTATTAAATTGTTAAATCCAGTATATTATTCCGACTGCCTTTAACTTGTACTTGCCGTTTTTTTTGGATACCAACTTGGAAAAAGCAAAATTAAATATGAAATTAGTTTATAAAAGTGCTGCAGTATTAGTATAGTATTTGATCGTTCAGGGAGTAAATTACATTTGCTGCACAAAATTTTCATTGTTACTATATTTACACTGTTTAATATAAATCAACACTAATTTCAGCGTTTGTAGATTCACTTTGGTGTGACAAGAAATCGGCCAATGGAATTGATCACTCGTACAATACTAATAAGGTCATATTATCCCTCAATAACGCCGCCACTTTCAGGAGTAACTGACCCCCGAGTTTTGAATCACATAAACATTGATTTCCGATGACTCTTGTGCATGTTTCTTTTATGTATGCAACTCAAAGAGCAAAGTTTACTGCTTGCTAACCCTGACAATAATGAAGATTAAATTATACAAGTTAATTTTTTCAATAAATTCACAATGAGAAGGTTTGTGCGACGAGATATATGCGGCTACATTTGTATGACATGAAGAAATACCAAAATACTGGTCCTATGAGGCATGAGATATTTCAGTGTTGGTATGCAAATAACATCTGCGCGGAAGACGGCATTTTTTTATCCTACTCGCCAAATTTCCCAACTTGTGGCACTGTCGTTTGGCTCGTTATCAAAGGCTATATTTATTTTTTTTGAAGATGCAAGATATGATAGATAAGACATTGCCGACTAAGAATACGTATGAATATTTGCAATGTTTATTCAACCCGTCTTTTTGATAATTTGGGGAGGTCAGAATTTCTCTATATGGGATGCACATTTCGACCAAATTATTCGACTCTATACGCTCGCACACTTTTCCTTCCCAACGGTAAATGGTCTCTTGTGTTTTTCGTTCTGTTTTGTACTCTAACCTTTCCCATCTAGCTTATTTTGCAAATTATCGAGGTTCTAAGCAAGCAGGCAGGCCAAGGAAGCGTTCTGCAAATTATTTTTTTCCCACGTCTACACACTCTTACTGTATGAGTTGGTGCTATATAACACTGTCTGAGTATTTACGAAAGTCTAGAGATATTCTAGGAGTATATACTTGATAACCACAACTTTCTCACTCATTCGACACTAGCTAAACCGTTTCTTCTGTAATTTTGCAGTTCTTAAGTAATAATTTTCTGAACATAGCGTTCTTCGAACAGTTATTTGAGTTTCAAAAAATAGTTTAATTGCCACGCAGCACCTTTTTTTACAAGTCTCGCGATGTGTTCAAACGGCCACTACAACTCGCACCTTGCTGTGCCTCTGACAGCACTGTACGTACGTTCTATTCAATATCTCTTCACATCAAGCCTCAGTCAATACTCTCATAAACGCTTAATATTAAAGCCTAAGGTTATTCGAAGGTATGGCTGCTTTGCAATTCTAGCCAGGATTTCTGTTACTATAATATTGTTATATGCAATATGCCATATGCTCTATATGCTATATATGCTATGCTTTAATAAAGTTATGGAGAAAGATGAATGCCCAACGTATAACGTTTTAGTATAGGGCGTCAGTTACATCAATTAGTAGAACCCCAGTCAAAATTTTATACACTAGTCAAATTAGTTTGTTTGTGTTGGTTATAATTGACGATGATTTGATGAATTGCTACTCCTTATGCTGAAACCACGACAAAGTATCAGAGGGAGTTGACTGTGGTACCCGGCAATTTAGGCCCCGTGAATTGTCATGTGATTGATATATATATTATATTTGCTGCTTTTATCGCCAAATTTTATTTGTGACAATAAATAAGCAAATACGACTAATGTAATTACCACTTGCTTTGGTTCTATGTTAAATCTGCTTGTTGTCTCAGATACATAGTAAGTCTCTTTTGCTGGCTATTCTCTGCAAACTTGTCTGAAAAACTCGCGATACCGTTTATGGTAATTAAACTACCGTGAATAAGCACCCATCGTGAATAAGCACCCCTTATAAATAAAACCATCGGATCGTGAATAAGCTCTAGATTAACCGCATGACGTACCCCCACCCGTAGTTAATTACGTAAGTATACAAGCCATTTTGCGAACACAGATAATAGTACGCTTACTGTTGTAAGCTACCACTTAACGCTGTTGTGGATTATACTTTACGTAATGATTTGCCGATCATTTTAATAATGCCGATAAGAGTTGCCGATCCTATCGTTAATAAGCATCCCTAGGGTGGGTGCTTATGGTACATTTTTCGTAAACCGGCATTCCGGTAAAAAGTGTATTAAATACACTTTTAGTGACGCTTTTGTAAAAAAAAAAGGTATATTTTTGACCCAAACAGTATTTTTAATGCAAACTTTAAACCCGGATTAATCTATTATACTAGTTTACCTGATTTTATTAGCAATTCTAATTTTATCGAGAACTACATTATATTTAGGAGATTTGATAACGATTCAGCTGAAGAATTGCCTTATTGTAAAAAAAAAAAATTAAAATGATAGGATATGTTCAATGTAGATTAAAATTTTGTTGTGATCGATTTCAAACGCCAAAAGGCTAGAAGGTCGACTAAGATATTAGCCGAAGAGTGCAAGCAAATACCACGTTGTTAGTATCATTAACAATATAAATTTTTATTAATAAAATTTATGATTCACTAAATTATCTTATCCTCCCTATGCGTATTTAGAGAAGCCGCTGCCCGATCTCACATATGTCAGATGAGACATACGTTAGATTGAAATCGTAAAGACAATAGGATAACAACATTATAAAATTATTTTATTAACATTGCGATATTCGCTCCACTGCGGATAAACACGTCATGATACACAGAACGATGTACTTAATTAACATTACTACATTGATAATTATAAGGGTGGCAGTTTAAGTTACAAATAATAGCAGCTTGCGACAAAGCACATTGAGCCTTGAACAACTAAATTAATCTTACACAGCTACATCTAAATTTGGTTAACTTGACAGAGTTTTGAGCCGAAGCGGCTTTATTATTTTGACAGAATGCTTTGAGTTACAGAATATATCAAGTTAGTGTAATTTTTCTACTTGTAGGCAAATACAATGTGTGTAAACATTGTCTGATCTGACATATCATTGTGAATATATTTGAACTACTAAAAACGTTAGCGAGAAAAATGACGGTTTGGCACATTATTGCAAAAATATGCTTTTGAGTTACAGTAATTTACTGAACCATTTTGACACATTGTAAGAGACTAAACCCCCAAAAGATACATAGACATTAATGGTAAGATTTCCAATATACGCAACCAGCAATTAATAATTTATTGCTTGTACTTAAATATTGTGGTAACTTTAACTTTCAATTACTATCATCAATATGTGATTTACTCAATTATATTATTCTAAATAAAACTATCAAAGATTGTGAAAGTATGTCTACATTACGCATATAATTATTACGATATTTGTATCAAATCATTATGCTGAAGAGGCAAACCCTCTTAATTCTAGTTAAAATACTACCAATGATAAAAGTAAGCACATTACATTATTAACAGATAATTCCGAAAATAAAATTTACGTCGAAAAATAATCTCTATTATTATTATCTATGTGGCACTGTCTAAAATTGATTATTCTATTAACAGTAACAATCGCAGCAAAAAAGAGGAAAGGAAAAACAAGGAAAAAAAGCCCCAGAATACAAACATTAATTAGGCGGCAATGTTTTTTGGACGACTAAAGCTGTGGCACAGGCCACATACGTTGGTTTTTCATGCTTCTCATCTGCTTCGCTCCGAACTCTAATGACGAAATTATATCGTTCGTATGCCGCCACCTTATCCGATACTTTGGCGGTTCCTGTAACGGTATAGTGCGTCGAATCCTGACAAAGAGAAACGGTAGCACCCTTGTAGGAATAGGTAATGAATTCTCCTTTAAGGTTGATATAACTAAAACTCCATTTATATTGCGCAGATTTGTCTGGAACTTCTCCTGAAATGGTAACGGTTACATTTTTACCAGGTATAGGCACATTTGATTGTACGTTAGGCATTGGAAGTTTATCGTTACATTTCTTCCAGACAAGCTCTTTTTCAACTATTGTGTTTGGCATAGCGTTGAGTGTGGAAAGCATGGCCAACAAGATGAGTGCAGCAATAATTTTTCGAACCATTTTGGTGTGTAGATATAATTTAGGTAAAGTTTTGTTAGGAAAGAAAAGTTTCTTTTTTGGTTTTCAGTGGAATAGATTTGCGACCTTTAAGTAATGTTTGGTAGGGAAGAAGAAAAGCTTCTTTTTGTTTTCAGTGGAATGGTTTGCGACTCAGTTTGACGCTTCCTTTATATAAGAGCAGACCCGTCCTGTCTGTCTGAAACTTTACACATGGTTTGAACTTGTAAAATTTTTTACCCTGCACATGCGATAATTGAGTCATTTGTGTTTGTGGCAATAGAGATCCATCGGATACGGCACGAGGTATTGACTTTCAAACGTGCGATACCATAAAAAGGGTTTCTTTATAACTCAAATTATTAAAACAATAATGAGAGAGGTTAACGAAAAGACCATAATTATTAGCGTTTCACACTGTTTTACTTTTTTTTTCAAACTAGCCCGTTATGATCGTAGCCTTATGTGGTGCGCCATTGTCGTAATGAAGGGTAACTTTTCTTTACGTAAGAGCAGACCCGTTTTCCACACGGGTAATCTAAAAGTTTGCGACAATAATGATCTATCAGATATGCACTCAAACATACGATACAAAAATGGTTTTCTTTATAACTCAAATTCATTTAAACTAACATTACCGGAAAAAAAAGAGAAAGGTGCTTCACGAACACTTGTTGTTTCCGGAATCTTAGCTCATTATGCAAAATGTAGGAAATTTTTTTTTTACGAGAAACGCCGACTTGTTGGTAGGTTGTTGCTAAATAAATTAGAGATACCAGACAATGTTCTTTATCCACGTTTTTCATGGTGCTCCAAAGATATTGCATAAACAGTTTGCCAGGCGCATATACTTTTTGTCTAACGGAGATTAGCAATTCTTGCTGCGAAATACTTGACTAGCGGAAGGGATAATAAAAATGGCGATCACTGCACGACAAATTCGGACCTAAAATAGGATAAACCCGTAACACATCTGGGCATCCTTACCAATAGAAGAATTATGTCCGAAAATTATTAGGAAAACCAACCGTATTTAGTAACTCAAAGCATATTTCACAATGATCTGTCTAGCCATCTTGGTTTGGGCGATATCCATAGTGTATAGTGGGTGGAAAACCCCCATTATGTCTCCGAATGGACACATGTATGTCAAATTGGAACAACAGAGACGATCACGTAGCATAGCATAATGAAAGTGTTTTATTGACATACGAATATCAACCCTGTATGTGTATAAACCTGGGAGTGTTACAAAGATATGCTAAATTTAGCATAAAGAATAAATAATTATATAAGCGCAAGTACCTTGCACTTGTGTTACATTACATGATGCAATGTACTGTATATCAGATCGGAATCTATATCTGTTAGAAATGAACATATATTGTATCGAAATTAATGCATTATTAAGCTCAATCACTACGTCAAGTCCCTGGACATGTTAATACTATGATATTTATCCAACTGTACAATAGATAGTGTTTAGTTGCATATTGTTAAACTATGATTCCGAATGTCATTAATTGGAGCTATATTATTAACGAGTGTTCCGTATTTCAATAATGTCTGATCTATTAGAGTTAATTATTTAAACTTTTTTCGTTAATGCTTTGAATTATTCTTTTTTAAAAAAAACCAATCGTATTGGTAACATCCATCAACCATTTTTTCGCCTGTTTTCTCTCTTCTTCGCTCGAATTAATGCACGCACTGATGGGAAACACCATTCTCAGATATAGTCTTTAATTATCTACGTAATTTGCAATTAACTTATGTATTGACCGATGTTTCAATTGTATATGTCAAAGTGTATAAATTTTTGATTTAATGCAAAATGACGTCAGTACAACAATGTCGATCTCAACCAATTCGTCTACAAATTATTGAGATGATTGAAGTTGCTTCACACATGATGAGAGTATTACATATTTGGCGTGTGGAGAGCTTTTGGCGATTCATTTGATCTTTGAAATTAACTGGGAGTTTTTTGGGATTTAGTTGTTTCGTTTTATTATGTATCAGTGTTGTAATAATATCAATATTATATTTTCTGTCTACAATAGTGTCGAACTAGTTATTTATATACTGTAAGAAAAAGTTCGTTAAAGTGCTCGTCATAAAGAACGCTAACATTAAGCATTGCGCAGTTTATAATGCGGAATATTAATTGGCCATATAGTCAGCTGAGTGTCGACGTATGTTATTATTGTTGCCGATTATTCCGATCTGACGGACGATATAGGCCATAATATCATATAGTTTACTTTCCAATATTATTTATATAACATGTTATTCCAATTTGACATATGTCGAAAGTTTGGAATAAACATAAAATTTTGATTGATATATGTCCGTTAGAACTGACATAAATTTGTCTGACATATAACATGGTGTCCATTCGGACTTGACATAATTTCCGATACTATTCCGATCTGATACACAACAATATTACCAATTGTAAGTTTACTAGTTTGTTTTCCGTTCGCATTTATTCGTCATAAAAAGTTTCATTATTCCGTTAGAGTATTCAACATAAAGTATTACGAAATAGTTACTTTAAAATCTAAATGGTCGACATCTATTGCTAAAATATTGATTTACGTCACTAAGTTACGTCAAATATTTACATGGGCATGTAATATTTTTAAGTAATTATCTGACGATAATAATATATTATTGATATTAATTGATGGTAGATCGCTAATTCGCCGTATGCTAAAACGTTAATTGGTTATGGTAATTTTCCTTCATGTGGTTGGTTAAACACTCTATGAACCCTTTTTTATGTCATAAATTTTCTTGCTGAATGTAGATTTTGTAATTCGTTTCACATACTATTTATGTCTCTCATAGACTGATACTGCAATACTGTTTCTATGGTCTGCAAATATTAATTTAATTGCCTTGTGCATAATACATTTTCCGCTGATGCTGACTCTACGCACTTTGAACGAGTTAAGCATATAAATTAATAAACCACGTGCTGTCAATAAAACGCACATGTGGACTTGACCCGAAAAGCACTATATAATGGGAAGGTTTCCGTATATACCGAAATATCATCTTTACAGGACACACAAAGTTCCGCACAGCTGATTTATCATTAATATATAACTGAGCGGGTACCAAATATCCATAAGTGATTTTTCCCCTACTCAATTTCCGCAACCCTAGCTTGTCTTTAGCCTGTCACTTAACATGTCAACCCAACAAATTTCCACAACGTCTCCTGAATATGGGGACTCACTCGGTCCGTCCACATATGAAAAAATTGATTTGCCTAATGTGTTTATTGACCTAAAATCAATCGAGCTTACTACTGTTCCACTAACGGTGCCAGAAAAGATTTCTGCTACTACGGACATAGAAGGAAAAGCAAATAGCGATAAGAATAGTAGAGGAACAGATTATGTCTCGCCATGGATTCTCATAAGTGTTTATTTAGTGCTTATTGTCAATATTATATTAATGTCGGCCGTGTTAATAATATTAATTTTAATAATAAATGTAAGTATAAAAAAAACATATAATTGACTGTCAGATGATGTAATATAACATCATAGTTGACGTTTCTAACATACTTTACTTAACAGGATACCCCAACAGAAAGCCGCGAGACTCTAATTGTCTGGTGTGTGATAGAGATTGCGTTACGTCTGCTGGCCGTATATATTACAGCCATAAATTATTCCGCAAGATATACTATAATTAATTGGCTGGGAATATTTTTAGGTAATAATATTAACAGCAGTATAAATCATAAATAACAATCAAATCCGGTCGAATTTGTATTTACGTTATTATATATATATATTTTTTTATAGGAAAAGAATATTACGTCACTTTTGTTAACTCAATATGGCCCGACTCGAATCCATTCGATCCGATTGTAGATTGGCCCGGAATTAAAATCGATCACGTATGGTTAAAGCAAGGTTTTTATTATACAGCTTGTAATCTCATAATTGGCGGCCCGCTTTGGATTATAACCTGGAACGAGGTAATCGAGGGTGAAAACGACTACGCAAAGTCGTTAGCTACAGCCGGCCTCGCTGCGTCTTTGATGAATGGAATGAGTTATCTTGTTGGAATCGCAAGCATGTCATGGGTGTATCGGTATCAGAGCGTGTAAACAGAACACTAATACGAACGTTTAATTGAACATTGTAATTCAATTTGTGGATTGTCTTACTAAGTTGTTATTAGTAACGCAGATAAGTAACGACATGTCAGCGCAAGGAAATAGAATTATTGATTAGAACTCGGATACACTTTTGTTAAATACACATATAGAAATAGACTTTAATTTAATATCCATTGTATCGTAGATTACCACGAGTAAATATAGCCTAACTTTGTAAAAGTAAAGACTATTTGCTCGGTACTGCTGCTAACGTTTTAAGTGGTTTATAAATAAACGAATAGAATTGATTATAAGTTGTGGTAGAAACATCAGTTACTTAAAATGTCTGTTAATCACAAAATTTACATTAATATATAACATTGCTTGCGTTAGTTGTATAACGGCCGTCAACCCGACAACGGCGATGAGAGTGTGGCATGCTTTACGATAATAAAGAGTGTTGCTAGTTAATTTAAATTTGGGAAACATCAGGCTCATAGATAATTTACAAACAAAACAAGAATAACAAAGTAAATTTATTTTCGCTTTACATAAAGCCCAAAAAACATTCCATTCAACTGAAGAGCAAACGTGGTAGGCGCCGTATTCACTATTATACTAAAGTGGATCAAATGAGCGTAACACCAAAGACTGTAATTGCCATATTCATTAGTATAAGTCTTTTTCTGTTATCATTGGAATTGACCAAACTAACCCTTACCTGTGAACTAAGTAATAATTATACCAAAATTGACATACAACAAGAAATAATAGTGTTCAACTATTCGTAAAATAATTCATTCAGTGGATGTGATTGAAGAATTCGCAAGCGTACGTATAGTGTAGTATTGAATAATTTAGATGTTGATTCGTAAATCGATATAGAATAAGCGTCAAATTGTATAATTTGTTAGTTTAAATCAAATTCTTTATGATGAGTAGTAATAGAAACTGCACATCACATGATCCGTCCCGTATCTGGTTGACAAGTTAGCGGGTAAATGTGTGTCGCACCATCTTAAGCGTAACCATCGGTTAAGTCCCTCACGAATGGGAGAACTGGTTGGGCTTTTTTTTTCAACATGTCGATCGGTGTTTACTTACATTTTACGCCAATAGAAAGATTATCGCTAACGTATTCTGTAAGACAAAAGTATATTTTCACATTTAATACTCTCGTCTTTTGCCATAGAAGGATCACGCCTAAGTCTGTCCAGAAAGCTCGAGCGCGACACGTTTGAGCTTCTCGTAATAATGTTTCGCTATCGTCACTAACGTTTTTAGTAACTCAAGCATATTCACGATTGTATTTACTGATTATTTATTTGCATTTCCGCACTAATAGAATAAATTATTCGCTAATGTGTTCAGTAGGGAGGCAATAATTTTGCCGACAATCATTTCACTTCACCGACAAATGTTCATCGACATTATTTCAACATTATCCTTTTTAGGGGGTAGGCTAAAGCGGAGTAGTTTATGCCACACAGCAGGTGCCACAAATTGACTGAGTGCCACAATCAGTATTGGTGCCACATGGATATCATGTGATAATAACAAAATCAAA